CACTTGTCAAACGAGGTCTCAGTCTACATTGCCACACATATTCTAGGCATCTCCTATTAACACAAAGTTAACAATAATCATTATAAAATAGTTAATTATGTTTTTAATCTTAAAATATATTATTTATTTAAAATTATATTACTTATGTTGTTTTACTTTTTAATATTTTGATTTTATTAATTTAGACATTATTCTATAAAAAGAGGTTTAATTTTTTATCTAATTTTATCAATAAACGCTATTATAGTTAAAGGTAATAATGATGCTACAAACCCAAAAAATATTACTCAAAAATTGTAATGTGTGGTTCAATTGATTTTACAGATGGATTCTACGATACACTCATTCAGTCTACATTGCCACACACATTCTAGGCTAAGATATGATCTCCTCCTTCTGAGTTTCCAGCCTAACTATACAGGTAAAAGTGTAATTTTATAAGCCAAACTAACACATTTTACATATTTTGAGATTAAAAGTAAGTTCTGTTTGATTTTGAATCTTTTAATACAATTTCTGAGTTTTTATTTTTTGCATTTTGTTGATTTTAGCGAGTTTTTATTTTATTGGGTTAATTACAAAAAAAAAAAAAAAAACTCTAAGTTTTGCTTGTTTTTTAATTTAAAATCCAGAGTTTCAATTTCGACAAATTAAACTCTAGAGTTTTATCTGTTTTTCAATATGAACCTTTCCGTCCATTTCTGTCTCACTTCATCTTTTTCCTTCTTTTAGATTCAAACCTACATATTCAAACCCTTATATCTTCCTCATCGTAATTCCGTTTCGCCTCATTTTGACTTCATTAGATACATCTCATGGCCTAATTTCATTCCACCCCTCATACACCTTTTTTTTTTTGAACAAGCCCCTCATACACCTTATTCCACCTCTTTTTGCATGCTGTTGAAACTCCAAAAATTGGCCAAAAATAAGATTTCTCTCTATTCTTTTTTTCTTTGCTACTATCACGACAATATTCTTGGCATTGGAGAAGCAATGGATGGCCCTGACATGCTCATCAACCTATTTGAACTTTTATTTTGTGGGTAGTTGTGTACATATCACCATTCAACGGCACCGCCACTATTATTACCACCACCTCATCTTGCAATAATGATGACAAAGCAGTAGTAGTAAACCAGGAGAAGGAGCCGCAAAGGAGGAGGATTGAGGGAGGAAGAGCAACAACTTAATTGATAGAAGATAAAGGAAGGAGAAGAGAGAGAGAGAGAGAGAGAGAGAGAGAGAGAGAGAGAGAAGAGAAAAAGAGAAAAATTTTATTTTTGGCTAACTTTTAGAGCTCCGACGACATGCAAAAAGAGGCGGAACAAGGCGTATGAGGGATGGAACGAAAATTAGGTCATGAGGTGAATCCAATAACGTGAAAATAAGGCGAAACAAAGTTACGACGAGGAAGATAGAAGGGTTTGAATAGGTGTGTTTGAATCTAAAAGAAGGAAAAAGATGAAGTGAGACGGACATGGACGGAGGGTTCACATTGAAACACAGATGAAACTCTATGGTTTAATTTGTTGAAATTGAAACTTCGGGGTTTAAATTGAAAAACACTCGAAACCTTAGAATTTTTTTTTTAATTAACCCTATTTTTTTTTTTAGTCAAAAAAATTAATTTTTTAGATATACCTAACCTAGATGCATCTAAAATAAAATATTTGTAGAGAAATTAAAATAATAATAATAACAAATACAAAAAATATAACTAAATTTAATGTTTTTATTTATTTTTTAATAATCTCATGTCTTGATCAATATAATTAAATTTTATTATATACTTTTAATGATTATTTACATATAAACCTAATATGTGTGGGTACTGACAAAATAAAAATATAAATACTTGTTTGGGCCACGCACCAATAAATCCCAAATCTTTATCTTATGTTCCATTTAGTCCTACCTTTTATCTTACGATCCAATTAGTCCTAACATAATGTTATTGACAACTAAACCCGTGTTACACTAATTTTTAGGCGTTCTAGTAAGGGTAATGAAGTAAACCACCAACGGCGTAATGACTATAATGCCCCAAACCTGTCCTCTGTAGAAATTTGTTTCCCTCCAAACAAACCCGTAATCGAAGAGTCGTGTGTGGAAGCTTGAACAGTTCTCCGATGTTAATGGCGCGATGTTAGGCGTGGGAGTTTGAGATTGTTGCTTGACGATGATGTTTCATTTTCAACATCAACATCATTAACAACAATAGATCAGAGTGTGTATCAAACAGATCTGAGATCTGTGTATCTAAGTGTGTGTCACAGAGAGAGAGAGAGGACAATGGAGGCGATGGTCACTGCGACGAACGGCGGAGGAGGACGCCGAAGATGAGAGGAGGGGACGAAAGAGGTGGAGCAACGGTGTGAGGTGGACAGAGGTGGAGGAGAGGTGCGAGAGTGACGAGGTGGACGGAGGTGAAGCGATAATGCGAGCTGGACGGCAACTCCAGCGTCGTGGCGGTGGCGCTGAGGAGGAGGAGAGGTGCAAGAGTGAGAAAGAGTAGACGGAAGAGAGAGAGAGAGAGAGAGAGAGAGAGAGAGAGAGTATAATAAAGAGGTATATATATGGAGGATAGAGGGGTATAATAGTAATTTTACTTCGGGGGAAAAGGGAACGGGGTCGGGGGGCTGGAAAATGTATCACCGTCTCCGGCTCGAAAATCATCGGAGATTCATTTTCAAATACCATCTCCGACCCGTTGGGGATATTTTTTGGGAAAAAACTGCTCTAATCAGGGCGGTGGGAGGGGGTCCCCGTCGAGCCGGTTCAAATTGCCATCCCTAACGACTATGGTGACCGAAGTTGGGTAGGGTTATAAGTTCTATCTTTTTTAATAACTTGATTTAAGGGTACATTGATTAAAAAAAAAATTAAAATTAAAATTAAATTTAGGATATCCAACCAAATTTTTAGACACTCCCAATGGAGAATATGAGACAGAAAAATCAAGGAATACATTTGATATTTTTGCCAACATATAAATACTATTTTTGTAGATGTACATATTTAATTGATAAAATCTATAATTAATCTAAACATTCTTTTATATTTTACTCATAATTTTAAGATTTTTCCTTTCAAGCCTGAGCTTGGCTCATTTATGTAATAGGCTTGAAATTTTCAAATATTTGATGAGTCGAAAAACCAAGCTCGAACACCTAAAAGTTCAGCTCAGCTAGACACGTTTGCAACCCTAAATTGCACATGAACCACATTAGAAGGGATAAAAGTGACCTTACAAGCCTGAATAATAACAAGGGTAGGCTTTAGAAAAGTAGGAACTTTTATTCTGCAGTAGCACAGATACTGACTGGAATGCATAATTTTCACATCATGATGAATATTCAGTTTAGGATACTTCCCTGTTGTAGTTAGATAAGTGAATGTCCACTTTTGATTTGGCAAAAATTGCCAAGAGACATCATGATTCAGCCGACAATTGACGTACAGGAATCTATTGTATAGTAGAACTTCCCTATGTGGTAATATTTCATGTACAAGCAAAAGAATCAACCGGGTAAAGAAGAAAAAAAAAAAATGAAGAAAAGAAAAAGAATAATTGTACATATCCCCTAAAACTGTTGCTGTAAATAATATATGGTAACACAACTCCTGCTATCTACACTAAGACTGCTCGGCAACAACCAGCATGAAGTACCCAAGTTCATCGAGCAAAAGCAAGTCCCAAGTGGTCAAAACTTAATTGGCTTCAGAGAATGAATGATCAAAATGCAGGATGAACTTGGCAGCTGCTGTGTGCACAAGAGGTCTGCCTCTCATCTAACAGTTCCCCAGAACGGATAAAAAGTTACCAATCTAAGCTGATGTTCCTTGAAACATACAGCTTATCTATGTATTCTATAACTGGGAGTGAGGCTTTGATATACCTTCTCATTTCCTTTTCAGCCGACTCATCTGTGACAAGAATGATATTATCAGTTGAAATCACAAAATTACAATTTCAATTTTCATCAAACATAACAACATGAATTATGACGATTGCATTGTGTATTGCTTGTTCCATATAAAAGAGTTTTCTGAAGATTTCTTGTTGCCAAGTGTTTAAACTTTGCACAGGGTATTTCTGTCAAAAGAAATAATAGTTCTTTGGAAAGATAAAAATCAGCTTTGATTTCTTTTCCCAATTATCATTTTAAATGTATAAAAACTGTCAACAAGCATATGGAGAAATTGAGAACATCAATAATTTTAGAATACACTATTCATCTGATAAGTATAATCAATTTGAATGTTGTAAACACCACAAGTTTTACGACATGCTGGTATAAACTTCTAGATAGCATCTTTTCATTTTTCTCAACGGCCCCATTTGGTGCTTCGAAATGTAGGGGGAAGGGAAAAGGAAAAATTTGATATTAGTGATGTTGTTTATACAACACTTCAACAAACACAATCTCATTAGTGTTTTCATCCATCTTAACTTCCTTAAGTATTTAAAAGTAATAACTATAGACCCATTAGTCAATAATTTCCACACACAGTATTCATATTATTGAACTTTTTTGAGCAGCATGTAATAAATCCCCATCATAGAGACCTTTAATATAAATGAACTTTTGTGAGCCATAAACCAAAATGGAAAACAGGAATAAGTTTAGTACAAGTGAGAACCCCACTTTGCTGCCATTAGAAATCCTTGCATCAAATCAACTATTATGGTTCTTATTTCTACCGAAGCATAACTTCAAACTAACACAAGAAAAATCACACCTGCAAAAATGTTAGGTGTCTTCACATTTTTCTAGCAACAAAGACATAAATGGATGTTTACTTTTCCAACAACAGGAAAACTGTGACAATATTAGTGTCATTTGTGAAGAACATTTTGGGAGAATGAAGCACTACCTTTTCATTGTAAATGCGGAGTCGTTCCTTAATAGAGCACTGAAATATTTAAACTCATTGAATTAATTAGATTGTACAACTTGTTTCAGAAAATATCTTTATGGATTTATGATTTCATCTAAAGCAGACTAAACATAAAGTGACAAAACACAAAGAAAGAAAAGAATGACAGCAAGAGAGTAGATAATCTGGTAACACACTACTCAATGTCCAAAACCAAAGATTCTTTATTACATCTAGTGGAGCAATAATATGCATCATCAAAGCACATATTGTATCAACGAGCCTGAATAGGAGGACATAAATTTTTCCAAATAACAAGTGCCAGGAAACATTTTAGTAGATGTGAGAGAAGGAAGATACTATAAAAGAGAGGAACATACTCTGAAGACAAAAAATTTTCGAATATAGCTCTGATGAGGTCGAGACCCTGCCTAACTCTGCGTAGATTACGTGAAAGGCTTCCTTGTGTTCTCACTGTGTCATTTTTGACATCAACGTCAAGTACGTTATTTAAAGTGCCATACATATTTGACGCTTCCACAAGATCACGCACCTAGAAGTGTCAATCAAAGCATTAGATCCAATGAGCATTTTTAGATTGGAAATTAACAGGGAGAAGTAACAAACTTTGGATTGAAATACACAAGGAATCCATCTTTGCATTATATTTATGTAAATATGGCATTTCACCTTTAGAAGGCAAGTTAAATAGCAATTACAAGTACATGTACATTATATTTATGTGGGGCTTTTCTCAAAATAAGCCAAAATACCAAGTTATTTCTCAAACTAGGCCTAGTTTCGACGGATTTCCCAAAATAAGCTAAAGCGTGGTTACAAATCACCCTTTCACCGTTTTTGTGGCCCTACTGTGAAAAATTTGTAAAATCGTAAAAGTATGGTTACAAACCACGCTTTTAAAGAAATTTGATTTATACAAAAAGCGTGGTTAGAAATTTTTACTTTTAACTGATAGCATGAATAATTTTTTAAATAATTTTTACTTTTACTTTTAACCACACTTTTAAATAATTTTTTTTTTCCAGAAAGCGTGGTTAGAAACCATACTTTTAGAGAATAATTTACTTTTAACAAAAAAAAGTGTTTTGGAACCAAATTTTTAGCTGACAGCATGAATTGTTTATTTTGTTTAAACAATTTTGGAACCACTTTGGAACCATGCTTTACTATTGTTTAAAAATTTATGAACCACGCTTTACTATTGTTTAAAAATTTATGTATAAATTATTTATGATTGGTGGAATTCAATTTATGATAATTTATTTATAATTATTTATACATAAAATTTTAAAAAAATAAATAGCATGAATTGTTTAAAAAATAAATTATCTAATTTCACCATGTGAAATATTTAGTAAAATATTTGGTAAAACATTTGGGGTCCCTAGAATTACTCAGAAAAAAAAAAAAAAGGTACACACCTAACCTTTGACATAGTATACAAAATGATTGTTCCGAGACTTAAACTCATAATCTCAAAGATTATTAGACTAAGATTTTATCATTGAATCAATGATCACTGCTTATGACTTTAAAAATATAAAAGCAAAAAAGAATATGAAAAAATATAAATTAAATTTTTGCTTAATTTACCTTATTATTTTGTTTTTTTAAATTTTTATTTAAATTTATAATTCAAATATAATTTAAAAGAAATCGATGATGGACAAAAATAAAATATAATTTATTTTATTTTTCGTCGATGATCGATGAAAAAATATAATTTATTTTTGTCCAAAAATAAATGAGATCATCGATTAATATAATTTATTTTTTGTCCAAAAATATAATTTATTTTTGTCCATCATTGATCTCTTTTAAATTATATTTGAATTATAAATTTAAATAAAAATTAAAAAAAAAACAAAATAATAAGGTAAATTAAGCAAAAATTTAATCAAAATAAATTTTTAAACAATAGTAAAGCGTGGTTCCAAAATTGTTTATACAAAATAAACAATTCATGCTGTCAGCTAAAAACATGGTTCCAAAACACGTTTTTTTGTTAAAAGCAAATTATTTTCTAAAAGCGTGGTTTGTAACCATGTTTTTTTAATTAAAAGCGTGGTTTGTAACCACGCTTTTACGATTTTACAAATTTTCCACGGTAGGGCCACAAAAACGGTGAAAGTGTGGTTTGTAACCACGCTTTAGCTTATTTTGGGAAATCCGTCGAAACTAGGCCCAGTTTGGGAAATAACTTGGTATTTTGGCTTATTTTGGGAAAAGCCCCTATTTATGTACATATAACTATTTCATTACAGGCACAAATAGCAATTTCTTCATTTCAGCAGATTGAAGGCACTATCACTGTCTATATGTTTTGAATAAAGCCATATTTTCCAGATGTCTGTTGGCCTGTCTAATTTTCAAGTGGTTCAAAGAGACTTACTAGTGGCATTTCCCTTCTTCACCCTCAACGTTGCTACATTGGGCATGCTGCCACCCTATGGGAATCTATGTCTACATCCCACTGTGGCTGATCATATGCAAAAACCAGGTAAGCATAATAAATATCTGCAAGTCAGATGGCACCTCCTCACCCTTCTAGGGTGGGAAGGAAGAAACACGTCGCATGAATTGCTAACTCAAGATATCACCACAGAAATAGTGTAGATGGAGCAAGCATGCAAGCTACACAGTTGACTGAAACACCCAACTATAGTTTTATTCTCTTTATCCTTATTGGGGTTTGAGTTAGTCTTGGAGTGTAGTTTTGCCTGAGGATCCGATATCAGGGCTTCTAGCATTTTCACTCATCCACATAGCTTGAAGTTGAGATGGAAGATGCACATCAGGATGGCTGAGCTCTTACAAGCTGGTAGCATTATTGATTAAACTTTTCACCTCCATTGTGGTTTCTATGTAAAAAGGTAGATTACACTATTTTTTAATTACAATGGGTCTACATATACACATGATTTTTATTGCATGAATACATACAAAAAATAAAATAAAGTGGTAAAATAAATCCGATAACAAAAAATACTTCTCAAGTACATCATTTCTCTTGTCTCTCTTATCTATGTCGAAAGTTAGCCATTGATTTCTCTGATCTCTCTACAAAAGTAACCTTTGATTTAAAGAATTCTCTAGATTCCTGTAAGTCCCATTCAAAAAAATCTCTCTTTCTCATTCCTTTTTTCTTCCCAAACTCTTATCTATATCTAATCTAATCTCATCCCCTCATCTCTCTCACACCCATCCCTCCATCTCGAATGAAGTTTCCTCTCTCACACTCATCCCCCTTCTCTCATAGTTGACAACCATCACGTGATACTCCTCTCTCACACAATTTCTTTCCTCTCACCATCACACCCCTCTTCCACACGAAATTTCTTTTCTCACACCGTATTCTGTCTCTGTCTCTCTCTAATTGAGTAAGTCCGTGTGCAGTTTTCGAGTTTCTTGTCGAAGGCCGGTCACCAAAGAGCGCTATTGACTAGAAACTTTTGCGTTTGGTGGGTCATGGAGTTGATTTAAGATCATATTTGATTTCTGAGTATTGTTTTTCATTTTCATTTTATATTTTCTTTTTTGTGGGTTTGTATTTTTTTTTATTTTCATTGGAGATTGTGGTAGTTTCTGGTGAGTGATTGTTTATTGGAGAAATTGATGAGAGAGAGAGGAAGAGAGATTAGAACACCAAAATCCCCCGTTTTGGTACTGTTTTGTTTGTTTTGTTTTGTTTTGTTTTTTTTTTGTGTGTTTGTATTTATGTGGAAATCTGGGATTTTTTTGGTTCAATTGCTAAATTTGGATTTTTGGTTGTTTTTGATAATTTTTTCAGTAAGTTTTTTTGTGCTTGTTGTCTGTGGGGGTTAATTTTGATGGGAAAAGGATGGAAGGGAGAGAATGTGGTTGTGTGAATCTGACGTGGCAGATTTGGCAATGCCAAACCTTGTGCCAAATTTGGTACAAGATTTAGCATTGCGCTGTTTTGGCACAAGATATCAAACCACTGGAGAGGATAAAAGTGCAACTCTTGCTAAATTTTAGCAATAGCAGCCCAAATGGCTGACTGGTGGAGATGCTCTTACATTAGTGACACAATTGCCCTCCACAATGTGCAAGCAAGCTCCCAAACCACATAAGCTAATGCACGTAACTTAGAGAAGCTAGCCACATGGTATATCAATTTTGAGGAAAATGCTTCACAACAAGGGTTTTCAGCTAGTTATCTAAATACCCACATAATAATGACATGCTAATGGCTCCTTTCAAATTAGAATCAACATTGTCTTCATTTCAAAATATGATACAAAATTGTAAGAAAAAGCACACCATTTCTCCCAAGAGGAAGCTTGTGGTTGAATGTTCTGTTCGTATAACATTGCTCAAAAAATTTCCATGTCCACTTATCATTTTCTTCTACCTCCTAGTCTGCAATTACCAGAACATGATATTTTGTGCTGTCAATGGGACGCATTGTGAAGCCCTAGAATAGCAATCCTGTATATCTATATTATTATCTATTATTTTATTATATTATATAAAGCGTACATTTGAGTTGATATGAACTGTCACGTTTTTTTGTTTTTCTAAAAATGCCCCTGATATACAATAACTACCGCATTCAACAACTGCTTCATCAAAGTGTTTAAAATTACCAAAAGTTTCATCATCAATCAAATCACACCTCATTCATCAAACTATTCAAAGACATATGTTGGAACAATCTTCTGTGTGAATTAAATAAATTGAAATTAAATCAAACAAAATAAAATAAATAACTTACAGAATTTGTTTTACCGAACCGAATGAATATTTAAAGACCAAGTCGAGTGTGTGACACTCTGTCCTTAAGACAGATTCGCCCTGCTACGGTGCTTACGATTAAGTAGCGTCTATCTCTCAGGATACAATGATTTTCACAAATTTGTAATAGCACTTCAAACAAATTTGTCCGACAAACTAGAATCTTATGTTCTATACTCTCTTTAATTTTCTCTAAAACTAGAATGAAGAATAAATAATGCAAAGGAGCAAAATAGGAAGGAAACAAAGAAATTTCAGATAATTTCAGGATGTCAAAACTATTGGACTGTGCTGGAATATATAGGGCCGAACAGGTGTGATATAAACCTGGAACATATATGAGTTTAAACCGAACAGGTGCAACACTGTTTCAAACAGATATAATTTGAATTTCAAACAGATTCACAGCAGTTACAGAACTAAATCTGTCTGGGAAAACAGTCCGAAACTGCTGGGCAGTTTTGGCAGTTAAGACCTGGACACAAATTTTGGAAAACCTTTGAATTCAAATTTAATTTGAAATACAAATAATTTTTTATGAGAATTTTTTGAAAAAATTCAAATAAATTTTGTTAAAAAAATTAATGTTAGAACCGACCCGACCAACAACCCACACTCACCCCCGGCTCTGTCGGCGGCGGCGCACGTGTGTGGTGGTTTGGGCTAAGGTTCAATTTGTCCGTAACTCCTCTCTTTTACAAACTTGGGGTGCCCCTTGGGGCCCAACCCAAGTTAGTACACCAAGAGCTTCTATCCCCACAAAAGCTCTCTTACAGTTTCAATGTGAGACTAGCTTTACAAAGAAACCCACATTTAAATCTTTTAATGTCCAATTTCACGAACCCGAAAACGACGTCAACTTCCCATTCACTCATAAATGGTTTTGATGAACCGTTTTCACCGTATGACTTACCAAGCGGCACAGAACATACCAACTCTTCGGACCCATCCCAAAAGATGTTTGGGGCCCACTCAATTTTGAGCTCAAAGATGGTCCAAAATAAACCTATAAAACCATTTTTCCAACAATCTCCCACATGAATGGAATTGGATGGAGAGAAAATGCAACAATATGATCTAATTACAGAGAGTACAAAAATTGAAAATATTCTGCAAAGGATAGGTAGTTTTTGGCTTTGAACCTTCCCTTGTGAGACACTATCGGATTTACTAGCTAACCAGTGAACATGATGTCTTAAGATTGTTGGAATAATCTTCTGTGTAAATAAAATAAATTGAAACTAAATCAAACAAAATAAAATAAATAACTTACAGAATTTGTTTTACCGAACCGAATGAATATTTAAAGACCAAGTCGAGTGTGTGACACTCTGTCTCTAAGACAGATTCGCCTCGCTACGGTGCTTACGATTAAATGACGTCTATCTCCCAGAATACAATGATCTTCACAAATTTGTAATAGCACTTCAAACAAATTTGTCTGGCGAACTAGAACCTTGTATTCTATACTTTCTTTCATTTTCTCTAAAACTAGAATGAAGAATAAATAATGCAAATCGGCAAAATAGGAAGGAAACAAAGAAATTTCAGATAATTTTAGGATGCCAAAACTATTGGACTGTGCTGGAATATATAAGGCCGAACAGGTGTGATATAAACCTAGAACAGATATGAGTTTAAACCGAACAGGTGCAACGCTGTTTCAAACAGATATAATTTGAATTTCAAACAGATTCACAACAGTTACAGAACTGAACCTGTCTGGGAAAACAGTCCGAAACTGTTGGGCAGTTTCGACAGTTAAGACCTGTTTTTTAAAATCAGTTTCGACGAACTTCTCTAGCTTCTCACCGTGATTTACTGGTACTGTCACAACACGAGAGGAGGTTGGCGCAATTGCAGCCACCACACTAGTACTTGTTTGAACATTTGTTTCAGTAGCCATGAATTCTAAATTATAAAACAAAATTATATTTAGAATTTATACTACACAAAAAATTAATCCAAACTTACATAATTAAATTCTGTAAAAATAAAATAAACAAGAATGTAACTTTTATTTTTCAATTAATTTGAAAATAAAATAAAATTAAATTTTATTTAACCAAATTAATTCCACAGAGAAAATTAATTTTCAGTAACACTTCAATAATTAAAAAAAAAAACGAATTTATTTTTAATTAATAAACACTCAGAAATTATTTAAGAAAATCAAAATTAATTTCTGACAAACTTGACAAATAAATATTCTGAATTGTTAATGACACTAGTATATTAGTACTAGTTGTCAAAAAAAATAGATAGTATATTACTACTATCTGTCAAACAGTATATTACTACTATTTGTTTTCCAACCACAATATTATTTTGTAAAATCACAGAAAATAATTTTTGTAAGAAGAAGAAATAGAAATGGAAACAAACGAAAAATTCTGTAAACAGAATAATTCGAATTTGTCTTAAGATTGAGGAAGAGACACAAATTTTGGAAAAAATTTGAATTCAAATTTAATTTGAAATACAAATAATTTCCTACAAGAATTTTTTGAAAAAATTCAAATAAATTTTGTTCAAAAAATTAATGTTAGAACCAACCCGATCCACAACCGCGCCCGGCTCGGTCGGACGGCGGCGCGCGCAACTCCTCCCTTCTACAAACTTGGGGTGCCTCTTGAGGCTCAACCCAAGTTAGTACACCAAGAGCTTATATCCTTACAAAAAGCTCTCTTAAAGTTTCAACGTGGGACTAGCTTTACAAAGAAACCTACATTTAAATCTTTAAATGTCTAATTTCACAAATCCGAAAACGATGTCAACTTTTCATTCACTCATAAATGGTTTTGACTAACCGTCTTTACCGTGTGACTTACCAAGCGACAATGAACACATGATCTCTTCGGATCCACCCCAAAAGACATTTGGAGCCCACTCAATTTTGAATTCAAAGATGACCCAAAATAAGCCTATATAAAACAATTTTTCCAACAATATATAACTGTGAAATTATATGAACACATGTATGTATGCTTGTATAATTATATGAACTATGTATACATGATGAAGAGGGAAGGGAATTAGACCTTGGAGCAGTATTCCAACTCGGCGAATTTGAAGGCGATGCCAAGGGAGCCGAAGAGGACGGAGACGAGAGAACAGGCATCGCAAAAGGGCTTCAAACGGAGGTCGTAGGAGCGGCTAGACTTCACCGATTTAGAAAGTTCCTCGAACGCCACCGCCACGGTGGAGAGAGGCGTTCCGTTGGCTGCGTCTTTGAAGCTCGCATCTTTCTCATCCATGGCGGTTATCGTCCTTCATAATCATAAACAACAACAACAAAATGTTCACATTTGCAAATTATTATCATTAATTTCTATAAATAAAAAAAGAAAAATTCAGAGATAGAGACTCACTTTTGATTGTAATCGATGTCTCTTCTGTTGAAAAGAAAATGAAACGCCATTGATTTGTTTCTGGGTTTGAAAAGGTCGATGCCTGTGTAATGAAAACCCAATTTCCAATTTCCAATTTCCAGAGAGAGAGAGAGAGAGAGGAGGGGAAGAAGGTTGTGTAATGGTTGTGTTAAAGGAAGAGAGGTAGACAATTCTACTTTCGCGCCAACCCGTCAACGACCGTGTCGTGACGGAAGGAAGGTTCTCTGATCTTTTCAAATTTATAGGGTTAGAGAATCTCCAACGGTAGTAGGCATTTTACCTATCTAAATATTACTATAAAGTATATATTTTATTTTGTTTATCAACTGTTTTATGTTTTTACTCCAACCATGCTCTTTATTTTAGCTATTTATCCAAATGCTATTAATTTTATAGAATGCCACATCAACAACAAAGATGGAGGGAAATGATCCTAATGATTGAATACATTTTGCCTAGCGTTGAAGGCTAGCTACATGTAGCTAGTGAATATGAGTTGAGCCAAAATACCTAATTATATGCCTAGTGCATTGGAATTGAAAAAAATGAATCACACTAGGCATTTTAACTAACAAGAATTATATGCCTAGTGTATTGGAGATGCTCTTAAATGACAAATAACTTGTTTACATTATAAATTATTTTATATAATTTTAAAAATTATATTCTGTGTTTCCAATAAAATTATAAAAAATAATTCGTATTTTTAGAATTTACTCAATTTTTAATGATTATTTTTTTGCGTTCACATTTGACGTCAATTTCTATGCTTCACATTGTCGTCAATTTCCATGCTTCACATTGTTGTGCTAGGCCTCTAAGCATTTGACCCTGGCAAAAGTGGATTCCACTGTCTCCAATTGGTCATGAATTTATATCGATAATTCAAATTATTTAATGTATAAAATTTATTAAGTATTTTATTTTTGTAAAAAATTTTATTGATTGGATATTAGTAGTCACTTGATCAGATATATTTGTTTAATAATTTATTTTTAAATTGCAGGTACTGTTGATACAAATTTAGTATGATCAAGTGACTGTCAATATCCGATCAATTTAATTTTTTGTAAATATGAAATATTCAATGAATCCTAAATATTCAACGATGTGAATTATTGATATGAATTCCGTAGTGGGCCTACGAAACCCACCAGTACACTCCAATTCGATTTTTCAAACTAAACAGAAGTCTGAACCGGTAAAAATATCTCACACAGTATGGTATAAAACACATAATTAATTGATTCATTTAAGTGTGATAATCAAGATTATATCCTTATATTATTGATTGTGTTGTGGGATTAAGAGAAGAGTTGTGACATATAAATAAAAATGATACATAATGATGTATCAAATTTTGATTTTATCAATTTTAAACAAAAGATCTATTATCAGGAATTTTGTATAAAATATTTGTAAACATATGAAGGTGTGTACAACATGGCAGTTCATGAAATTCTATAATATACACTCAAAAAATAGTGTATTATATATTTAGTTATAACATTTTGTAAAATTTAATTATAATTTATTATGGTATTAATTATGACTTATTTACTATTTCTTATAGTGTTGCTTATGATAAAAAAATAATAATAATAATTTGTCAAGTAATGTTTAGTTGTGCCTATTATGAATATTATTTTAGATATGATTAATTTTATTTTTTTTTAATTATACCTCAAGCAAGGGCGGAGGCATGTTGAGATAGAAGTCACATCTACAATTTTTTAAAATGACATTTCTGCCTCTGTTTAAAAATTATTTTTAAGTGGTTTAGAGTTTCATATTTTATTTATTTATTTGTTTTCAACAAAATCAAACGGTGTTAATCCATTATTCAAAAATTTTGCATTTCATTATGAGTTAATTTGTTATGGAAATATAAACCTCAGGGGGCGGGATGTAATTTCTCAAACCTCAGGGGGAATCTGTATTTTCACCAAACCTCGAGGGGATGTTTGTAATTTGCCCTTTTTAAAATGACATTTCTGCCTCTGTTTAAAAATTATTTTTAAGTGGTTTAGAGTTTCATATTTTATTTATTTATTTGTTTTCAACAAAATCAAACGGTGTTAATCCATTATTCAAAAATTTTGCATTTCATTATGAGTAGAAATTTAAATATTTCAATCTATTTAACTGTTGTTATTCTCCTTTTATTTATTTAACTTTTCTCCCATATTTTAAGAATTTCTTTATATTAGTTGTGGGAACTCCTTTGGCATCCACTTGGGGTATGCATCATATTATGCATTTCTCTAAACTTGTTACGTAATTTTTTGTTGGTGATAATTATAAATAAAATATCAAAAAATATAAATAATAAAAATTACAATAACTATTGTAAGGATTGAAGTGCAGAAAATTCGCTCTTTTTAAGGAGATTCAAGCCCTCTGCGGCTAGGCAAAGCCTCACATCGGTGAGTAGAAAAAATCTTGACTTGTCCCCGCTAGGATACAACAGCCCGACTAAGTCGTATGGTTCACCAATACTGCATAATTGGTTGAATCCAAAGCTTTATCACATGTACCCTTTTTTATTTGCCTGATAATCTCACACAAAACATAATAAAGCAACAAACACTTCTTCTATCTTCCAAGATAAGAAGTTAGATCAATTTATAGAAGATGAAACTTGGTAGACAAGTGTCTTGGAGGAGAAGAAACTTAGTGGATAAGTTTCTTGGAGGAGAAAAAGACTTGACTTGGTGGGCAAGACTTGGAAAACTTAGATAAGAAGACTTGACTTGGAGGATTCTTGGAGGAAAAATAGAGGAAGTTGCTTGGAGGATTCTTGGTCACCAAGAAAATGATTAACTTGGAGGAAAAAAAAACAAATCAAACCAATAACACATTATAATATTAAAATATCTGCTAACATTCCCCCACCTATTTTAATATTATAAGTAACAAAAAAACTGAGATTATTAGGCAAATAAGGATATTATGCATCATGGTAGATGTGCTCTGCATTGAACCTCCATTAGTGAAACAATAATATCTACTCCAGAGCTAATAGTATGCTCAGCATTAAACTATGACTACTTAAGGGAAATAAATAATTATTGCACACATAATATTCCAAGTGTTCACATAAGCTTTAAGAGCCAGCACATTACGGCCTTGTGCGATCCCAGGATTCATGAGTGTATTTGAGAATTAGCCTAAATCTCATAGGTAGCGGCCCCACTATCACACTCACATAGGTGAATTCTATCAAGGGTGCTCCTGTAACTATGACACCCCACTCAATAAAAGCTACATAAATTCATTAAGAGTTTTTTAATAACTCAACCTCTACAACGTTACAGGATAAATGCACTTATATCATAGGGATGGGTAAAAAGTAATTTAGTGCATTTCTCACGGCCATCATATGATCGTTTTTCTCATTGAACCCAGTTACAGGATCTCTGGTCCCTGAGTTGAGTATCCTCATACATGGCTCCTACTATATTCAATAGGCTTCAACCCCATCCCCCTTGATGTATTCCAGACTCTATCTCTTGCTAAAGCCTTAGTTAGTGGATCTGCAAGATTATCACCAAATTTAATATAATCCACATTTATGATGCCATTATTCATATAAAATCTCACAATACTGTGTTTTATACATCTGGATTTACTGTTATAATAACGGTTATTAACTTGACCAATTACTGCGGTGCTATCACAATGAATCAATATAGGTGGAATCGGTTTTTCCTAACAATAGATTTCATTTAACAAATCTCTCAACCAATTTGCTTCTTCACTAGCTGTAGCTAAAGTAATAAGCTCAGCCTCTATTGTTGAATTAGCAATAATGGTTTATTTTTTCGATTTCCAACTTATAACACAACCTCCCAATGTAAATAAGTAACCAGTGGTTGATAATGAATCACCTGACAAGGTATTTCAATCGACATCACTGTAACCTTCAAGTACTGCAGGATACTTATTATAAAACAAGCTATATTTTATGCTACCAGATAAATATTTCTTAATTTGCTCAATGGCTAGCCAGTGATCACTGCCAAGCTTGCTAGTAAACCTGCTAAGTACTCTAACTACATAAGCAATGTCAGGTCTAGTACAGTCAGTCACATAACGCAAGCTACCAATCATACTAGCATATTCCTTTTGATTAATTACATCCTCATTGTAGAAACCCCATTTTTGACCGCCCTTAAGACTTGGACGCGACTGATGGTTTACATGGTGGAGAAAGGTGTGCTGGGGAAAGGTTCAGTTTCTTCGACAAGGAGAGAGTCAAATCTCAACTTCATACCCCTTTTTGGACCAAAACAATCTTGATCAAAAGATTTTAAACTTTAAAACCCTCTCTTTCAAAACGATTTTGAAATAAAGTTTTTACGATGTTCCAAGGCTCGCATTTTGTCAAATGTTGCGTTTTTCGATAAACCGAGCAAGGACAAAGTAGAAATGAATGAAAGAGAGATGAAATATTTGAAAAATCTTTCAAAACACTTTTCTTAGGGGTTTGGAGTTGAAGAAAAGAGGAAAGGAGAGAAGAAAAGTAGTTTGGGAGAAGTTCGGCATGAATCCGGTTGGACCGAATCTGCACGGCTTCACCAAAACAGGCGTAACTTTTTTCACAAGAGGAATTTTAATGCAAGGATGGTGCCATTGGAAAGATAACTTCCGAGGATTCAATTTAGACACAAGAATGACTTGAAAAGGAGTTCATATAAAGGATTTATGGCCATTTGAAGTTGGACCTAGAAAGCAGAATTTTCCTAAACTAGCTGGCCGACCCGAAAAGGTGGCTGGCCGACCACCCTCTCCTGAAAAAGTGGTCGGCCGACCAGAAAAAGTGGCTGGCTGACCAGAAAAAGTGGTCTACAGGTCCTAAACTCAGATATTTATCCTCCAGCTGTCTTCCACCACCTCCAGCTGTTCCAAACTCAGATTTTTTTAAACCAACTCTTGTATATGGCTATATATGAGTTATATCTCTCATTTTCAAGGACAATCTTCCTAAGCAAGTTTTGGGAGCTTCTCACTTTAAAAAATTCCTCTCTCACTAGAAATTCCAGAGCCAAATCTCTGCCTCTCTCTCCTTCTCTTGCCTTTGTGTGCATAGCAAGAGCTATACTTGGAGATATACCTCTCCTTTGCCTAGGCACCCTTGATCAAACCCAACTACCATTGGGCTGAGGTTCTTTGAGGATCATTTTGAGCTCCAAAATTTGGGAGCTTCTCA